CTGTCTCCCTCCCTATTTTTTTCGCCGTGCATTTTTTAATGGCGTTGAGTTTCCGATATCGCGTGAGGGGGCCTTGTGGTCGCGAGGCTGCCAAGAAAATAAAACAACACAAGAATATGAACATACATAATCAGCACATCGAAGCATATGGTGAAACATTTTTAAAGGTTTCAAACGCACAAACCTACCACACATCACACATATATTTATAGATTTGTATATATATATATATGAAGCCCTAATATTGCCGATCACAAGAGTGCCGATTGCATGGGCAGCATGGCTCTCGAAGTCTTACAAGACACATTGCAAATCAGCAATCTCAGCGTGACAAGGGGGACGACAAAAACAAGCAAACAACACAGGACCACAATCAAGATGATACACAAGCCCACAACGCTCTGCCGTTGTCGAATTGCCGAGTGGAGAGACCAACGGGATCAAACAACCGAGAACAAAAACTGCTGCGCCGCCACGACTACTGTTTCTGTCTTCCCTGCAAATGCAAGTGTGCTCCAGCAAAACAGGAGTGGGAGCTCGATTGACTCGAGCTTCGTTCAGGAAAGTAAAACCAGGACGGGAAGGCAAAAGGAAAATGCGAGCTTCCAGCTCGGACTGCGAAGAGAAAATGCCCGGGATGTTCAAATGCAAAACGGTGAAGTTCGAAAGCGTCGAAGGAGGATGTAACCTGGCTTCGCCTAGGTTTCTTCCTTGGGGTGAAGACTGCTCGTTTTCATAAGGCTTGAAAAGACAATAGTGAAGCGAAATCTGGCGAGATTTTCCCGCGCGGAATTTCGCTTCCAAAATGGTTGCAGACGGCCTCGGCGGAGTGCGGCAATTCGAGATGTTCGAGAACAAAATTCGCGTTAATGCAATTTGAAAACTCCGAGTTAAGGCCCCCCGAAAAAAAAAAACTTGGATTAAGGCGGCTCGACGCAACGGAACCGCTGGAATGCATCGGAGCAGCGCAAGCCGCACTCAACGATGATGCCGCAGATTTGCGTGCTGAACGACGCTGGATCGAAACGATCGATTGTGGGTCTCGACGTCTGACGCGCGCGTTGCCCTGCACAGGAATTCTCAGATCTGGCAGTGTAGAACCCGGGGGCCACGCGCAAGCGGCTACGCTGCGGGCGAGGGTAGAACATGCAAAATGCGAAGTCCCTCCGGATCCCGACGGGGAACAGAGGTCCTGAACGGGATCGCTGAATCCACCTTCTAAGTTCCCAGCGTGCTGAATGAAACCGACCTCATCACCAATTAGAGTGGTGCGTGTCTTGAACTTGGCACGAACGGCATCATTGTGCACGTTCGGATGTGATTTGATGAGCTCCAACTCTGTTATGAAATACCAATCCCTCTGCAAAGTAATCTGCGTCTTCGCTGCTTTGACTTTGAGAATGTTCGACTGGCTCTGGCAAAATGTATCTTTTGCCAATTCCAAAAATGTGGATGCAGCCTCTGGGTTCTGGAACTCCAGACATGATGCCTTTGTCAATCTGTGATTATTACGTGGCCCAGAATAGAAATGTTCAATGTCAAACACAGGCACGTTCGGAATACTCTTGGCATAATATTCTATATCACGAATGCGTTGCTGCATGACGTCTGTTTCGAAACCAATGAATGCAACGCGGCGGTGCGCAATGTCAAGTGCATTCAAAACCGATAATTGCCGTTTTGATGTCAGACTGCCTGATGCGTGCGGAATCTCCCGCTTATCCACTGCCGGTAACAGATCTTTCACAGCATGCATGTCAATTTTAATGGGGTCGACTGATTCAGAAATGACCAGTTTACAACTTTTCATCACGTTGATCTCGGCCTGCTTCAGATCTGTTTTCGTTGCCGCATTCTCCATTTCTTGCTTCATAGCCGCATCATTCATGATGAATGTCAACTTGTCAGAATCAGACATCTGGGCTGGCATCGCTGCCGCTTCGACCGGGGAAGCAAGGGCGCCTCGACTCGGTTCCACCGAGGAAGCGCCCGCTCCGACGCCCGGGAAGGGAAGTGCCGGCCCGAGCCCTGGTGGAATCTGGTCACTTTTCATCAATTCGTCATTGTCGACCTTCCTCTTCTTCCTCTGTCTTTTTCTCGAACAAGGCGATTTCTGATCGGGCGACTTCAATAAAGCATCCTTCACGTCTTTAATGATAGAATGACGCTGACGAATATGGACGCTAGTCTTGCCCAAACCCTTGCCATCGCCCCATTTTTGCGAGAGATCACTCGGCTTTCCTGGAAGAGCGGCTGGCGATGTGCCCGACATTGTGATGCAGAGAGTCGGTGGTGTGCGTATAGTCTTATTCCGCCAGGAGCTCACGCAAATCGCAAACGCAACTCACGGGGAGCGCAAGTGAGCCCAATGCTAGAGCAACCGGAATTGCTCTTGAACCGGAAGGCTGGTGTGGGAGGTGGAAGTCTCTGGCGCGCAGATCGGCGAGTCCGACAACGATTTCTGCGCGCAACCATCGAATATTTTGAAGGTGACCGGGAGAAACAGATGCGGTGGGAACGGACCGATCGGGTGGGACGGAGACATGGACGGTGAAGTTTCTCGTGTAATTTGTTTTGCGGACGCCTTGGGGGACGAGGCCTGTCTCGTGAAGATCGGAGCTGCGAGGGGCACGACCACCGGGGCCCTTGCTTTCAGAAATTCTTGTTTTTTTTGGGGCGGAATCAAATTTCCACAACATTCCGTTGTTTGCCAGAAAATGAGCATCGTCAATACTGTCAGCACCCATACCAGTTCGCATGCGACAGCGATTTCTTTGTCGGCTTTGTGACCGGCCTGGCCAAAATCACGCGCTACACGCCAAATTTGTACAAAGAACCAGTGTTCTGACAACCACAGTGGCGTTGCATGCGCAATGGTATCCTAGAGATCTTGTATCGGAACCGGTAATTTGGAGGGGTCGTCGGTGGAACCGAGAGCAGGTCACCTTGCGAATGTTGCGATGAACCTCAAGAGAAGCTTCTGCTGCTGGAACATGCCGTTTTGGCGGGGTGAAACTGACTTGATGACCTGGAGCGACGGGGCCTGCAGGAAAAACGGCGCTGCGGCCGCCTTTCTGACGAGCCTGGGGCCACGGCGACCAGACGCCAATCGTATTCAGCGTTGCTTATCCCCAGCGTTCCACCGACAGCCTCGTGCAGAAGGCTTTCGCCCTGAAATTGGGGATCGAGGTATTCTATAGTGTGTGGGACCGACCCGACCGTCAGAAGGCAGAGCAATGAACGAAGGATCATTGGGAGCTTCCTTTTTGCAATTCCAAGTGGATCTGGAGCGTCTGAGGTCAGAGAGCGCGCTGCTATCATATGTGAAGTGGTCTGTTTCCGCGTGTGTGTGTGTGTGTGTGTGTGTGTGTGTGTGTGTGTCTGTGTGTGTGTGTGTGTGTGTGTGTGCACGCACAGCGCACCCGAGCGTGAAGCAGAACTAGTCAGGCAGTGTATGATACTGGATCCCGAGTTTTTGTATGGACTGTCTAGAGCACGTTGCACGCGCTTCCTGGTCAGGTAGTCGGTTCATTGCATGTGAAAGCGGGAGTCACAACAACAACAACAACAATGCTCTATGTCTGCATGTACGTATGTATGCATTCATGTACAGATACATACATACATTTATACACATATGTATATGTATATGCATATATGTGTATATTTATATGCAGGTATGTATGTATGTATGTATGCATGCATGCATGTATGTATGTATGTATGTATGTATGTATGTATGAATGAATGAATGGATGTATGTGTGTTTGCATGCATGCATGCATGCATGCATGTATGCATGCATGCATGTATGTATGTCTATGTATGTATGTATGTATGTATGTATGTATGTATGTATGTATGTATGTATGTATGTATGTATGTATTGATGTATGTATGTATGTATGTATGTATGTATGCATGCATGTATGTATGTATGTATGTATGTATGTATGTATGTATGTATGTATGCATGCATGTATGTAGGTATGTATGTATGTATGTATGTATGTTTATATGCACATATACAGACAGTATCATAGGTTCGTTCATTCATATTTGAAGGGCTGCGCCCTCTCCCGCCAGCCCCCGCTGATCCCCGTTGCTTCGCGGTTGCGCGTCCAGAGCGCGTAAAGTCTGGGCGTTGGGCGTTGCGACCGCCCGATCCCATCCTTCTTCCCTTTTTCTTTTTGTCCTTCCCTTACCCGTCCCTCTCCGCCTTGGTTCTTTTTTATCATTATCATATTACTTTTCTTCATTCGCTTTCATTTCCTCACCCTCTCGCTCCTCCTCCTTTTTCTTTAGCGTCTCCTCGTCCTCCTCGTTCTCCCCGTCGCTCTCCTCCTCCTTTTCGTGGGGTCCACTTGGCGCCCTCATGGGATCTCTCGTGATTCGTTTTTTTGGGGGGGCGGGGAGGGGGAGGCGGCCTCTGGGGGCCTCTGGGGACCTGCTGGGCTGTCTCTATATTTTTTTGCGTCGTATTGTGGCCCTGTCGGCCGATCTTTGGCGTATTGGGAGTGATTCTGAATTCCCTTTGGGCCGTCTTGGGGCTCTCTTGAGGCTCTCTTGGAGGCCTCGTGGGTAGTCTCGGCCCGAGTCCATGTTGGACGAGTTTTGGACCGCAGGTAATCCGAAGGGACGATGCCGCGACAACTTTTCAAGCAACTCGGGAACATCGTGGGTTTTGGTGTCTGAAGGCTCTTGGGGCCCTGTCAGGGTGTCTTGGGGACACATTTTGATCGTCCCCATGCCATTGTTGATGTTTTTTTTTTCAGAGATCCGAGGTCTCGCAACCAAACAAGCAACAACACAAACGGGCCCGCTGCGCCCGAAGAGGGGGAAATAACGGGACAATGATTGCGAGATGATGTGTGTTTCGACGCCAGGAGGGGTGTCCGAGGCGTCAGGAACATGAGGGGTGACACAGGGCCAAGGACATTCAAGGCATGAGACGAGGGCAGGAGGTGAGGACAGGAAGAGCGGCAGTGAACGCATGCAGCATTGGATCATGCTGGGGATGTTGGCCGGGGAATTGCTGACGCTTCGACCGCGCAGCAGCGGCGGCGCTGCCAGTGGGAGTGGCGATGGCGAAAGAAGGTAATTATTGGCGGCCTCGTCTGCTCAGGCCACCGTTCACGGGGAGGTGGGGCCGCGTCCTCGCAAGGTTTGCTTCAGGCGTTGTGGGTGGCTTGTCGGAGGGCACCAACTATACACCAACACCGATCCTGGCCCAGGACCACCCTGGGCCCAGGATCGGTGCATAGGCCCTCTTGCGCAAGGCAGGAGGGGCCCAGGGTGATCCTGGCCAGGATCGGTGTTGGTGTATAGGAAGGATTGCAAGAAGGATTGCAAAAAAAAACCCAAGAACGAAGGATTGCAAAAAAAAAACCCTGGATTGCAAAAACGAAGGATTGCAAAAAGGATTGCAACAAAAACCCTTCGTCGAAGGTTTTTTTTGCAATCCAGGGTTTTTTTGCAGTCCTTCGGTTTTTTTTTGGTGCCTTCCTAGCTTGGGCGCGAAGGGCGGCGCACGGGATGGCCAGGCGCCGCCGCAGCTCCTCGAGCCTGGCCTGGGCCGCCGTGTGCACCTCCTGCGCGACGCCGGCGGTCCTCGTGGCGGGCCCGGGGCCTCGCGCGCAGGCGTGCCTCGGCGATGGGCTGCTCTCCCTTGCTCCTCCCCCTCCCCCCTCCTCCCCCCCTCCCCCCTCCTCCTCCTCCCCTCCTCCTCCTCCTCCTCCTCCTCCTCCTCCTCCTCCTCCTCCTCCTCCTCCTCCTCCTCCTCCTCCTCCTCCTCCTCCTCCCCCCCCTGGCCCACGGTGGTCTTCACCTTCCCACGGAGTCACAGATGGCTTTCCACTCACGAGGCCGAGAGGGCCCGAAGGAACCTCAAAATGGAGCGAGAAGCCAGGGACACCCTGACTCCGGGACGTCTTTATCAACCTCGGAACTGCTGGCCTGGTCCCCCGCTCTGTTTGGAGCTGCGCGCCCCGCGCGCACCCTACCGATTACGACAGTTCTTGTGCACATCTGCTCTACGTCAGGAGAGGAGTGTGAGGGCAGGAAGGGGGGTCTGCTCTGTGATTGTGCGATCGTTCCCTCAGTCCTCAGCCCCGTTCCCACTTTGTTTCCCTTGCCCCCGCCCGCTCCCGCTTTCTGGCTCGCTGCCTTGCTCGTTCCTGTGCCAGCGGCTCCGTCCCCTGGCCCGTTCCCTTCGTCCTCTTGTTGGATGCCCGAGTGGGGTGCAAGGGCTTGGAGGAGGAGGAGGAGGCGGAGGTGGAGGAGGATGATATGGACGTGCCCAGTTCGTCCTCCTCATTCCCTGGCTCGTTTCTCTGGCGCCCCCCTCGCTCTGGTAGGGGAGGGGCTCAGGAGCCCGATTTGGAGATGCGCCCAGGCCTCTCTCCGGTGTCTCCCAGCCGCTTCTTTTCCGCTGATGGTTGGCAGGCCGCGGGTCGCAGGTGCCAGCTCCAGGCTGGCGTGCGGAGAGGCGCGTCGGCTCCCTGCCTCGACTTGCCCCTCGGCGTGGAACGCGGGGTGGCGGATGGCGGAGAGCCGCGCCTCGCTCGGTCGTTGAGCGCTGCCCTTTGTGGAGCGCACCGGCCTCTCGCGGAGGTGCGCGGAAATGAGGCACAGTAGTCTTTGCCGTCGAGCGGGTCGGCCCGTGGCTGTGGCTGCGGGCTCGCCCGTCACCTCCGACGGCGCTCGGGCTGCACCTGCTGCTGAGCGGAGCAGGGCTCGGCGTCCGCGGCAAGACGTCGGCGGACCGAGTCGTCTTGGTTTGCGGTTGCGGGCCTCCCGCACTCGAGCATTCGGCCGCCAGACGCGCGGCCGACGTTTCAGGGGAGCACCTTGAGCGATGACGTGGCTCCCTTGCTGCGACACGCCGCGCTCGGTCCCTCGTGTCGAGCGCGTTTCGGGGCTCATCCTTTCCAGGTCGATTCTTCAGGCATCCTCAAGCACGCCGCGCGCTGTTTCCAGGACCCCGCCGTGCCCCCTGGACGGAGCGGGGAGGCTGAGTTTGCTTGCGTCAAGGGCATAACTCCTGTTCTTTTCGTCGCCCGCGTTCCCTTCCGGTGAGGCCTTTAGAAGTGCCTTTTGCGGGATGGGGGGATCAGGACAGACCACCTGAGTGTTTGGCAAAGGCGAAGAGCCCACCCAAACCAGGGCGACGCGTCTCCTCGGGGGCTGACATCGTCGGACCGTCTTCTGCCTTGATGGTGCCGCCAGGAGCCAGGGGTCCACCTGACAGTAAATCAGTTTTCTTGTTGGTGGATTGGTGGTTGCTGCCAGTCTGGTGGAGGCCCAGTGAACCTTCGCTCTCCGCTCGAGAACACGCAGACGCCCCCGAAGCAGGACCGGGAGAAACAGGAACATAAACAGGGAGGACGTGCCAGGAGATGGGGCAGAGGAGGAGGAGGAGGAATAATAATAATGATGATGATGATAATAATATTATATTGTTAACACTAAGAAAACAAATAAGAATAACAACACGAATAATAATAATACAAATAACAACATTAGTAATAATATTAATAATAATAATAGTAATAATAATAATACTAATAATGATAATAATAATAATATTAATAATAATAATAATAATAATAATAATAATAATAATAATAATAATAATAATAATAATAATAATTAAATTATTAATACGAGTAATAAGACTAATATTCATACTACGAATAATACGACGGAGAAGAATAATAATAAGACGAATAATAATAACAATACTAATATTGATATTATTTAATCGCTTCGCTCATTCCGCCGGCCCATATTGTCGCACCGTTGTGGGCTAGCCGAGTTTGGGGGCCTCTTGGGGGCCGTTTTGGGGCCTCTTGGGGCCTCTTTTGGGCCTCTTGGGCGCTTCTTGGGGCGTCTTGGGGGCCTCTTGGGGGCCTCTTGGGGCCTGTTTGGGGCCTCCTGGGGCGCCTTCTGGGGCGGAGGGCTCCATTTTTCAGTTCTCGGTTCCCCTCTTGAGCCCCTCTTGGGCCCGTCTTGGGGCCTCTTGGTCCGCCTTGGGCGGCACTTGGGCCGTTTTGGGGGCCCTCCTGGGCCGTTCCGGGGCCGTCTTGGGAGCCTCGTGGGCCGTCTTGGAGCGGTCTTGGGGGCCTCTTGGGCCGTCTTGGAGCGTCCGGAAGCCGAAAAAGCCAGAACGCAAAAAACATAGAAAAAACAATGAAAATCAACGATTTTGGCCTCTTGGGGCCCTCTTCGGAGGCCTCTTGGAAGGCCCTTGGGGCGTCTTGGAGGCCTCTTGGGCTGTCTTGGGGCCCTGTTGGGCGTCTTCGGGCGATCTTTGGCCGTCTCGGGGCCCTCTTGGACCGTCTTGGAGGCTTCTTGGGGACCTCTTGGCCCGTCCTGGGGCCCTGTAACAGGGCTCCGGCATCTCTGACCCGACCTTGCCGGGACCTTGCCGGGACCTTGCCGGGGTACTTTTCGTCCAGGGACCCCCAGGGGCCGCCCCGCGCGCGCGAACTAGAAATACTGTTAACCAGGTACCGGAGATCTTAGCACGCCCTGGCCCGTTGGGCCGGCGAATTATTAAGAATAAGAAGACTAGTCAGAATATTAATAATCTTAATAATACTAATACTAAGACTAACAAGAATGTGAAATATATTATCAATAAGAATAATTAGAATAATACTAAGAATAATAATCATACTAATATCAATAAGACTAAACATAACACTAGTAATATTACTAGTAATATTAATAAGGATAACAATACGAGTAATACTCCTAAACATATTATTAATAGTAATACTCATAATAATAAGAATAATAGTAATAATACTATTACTAGTAAGAGTAATAACAATAACAATACGAATACTACTACTACTACTACTGATAATGAGAATCACAAAGAGACGAAACATATTTATAATATTAATAATAACAATACTCATAATGATAAGAATAAGACGAATAATAATAATAATACTGATACGAAGAATAATACTAATACTAAGAATAAGAATAATAATAATAATACTAATAAGCAGAATAATACTAATGATACTAAGCATAATAATAAGAAGAAGAAGAAGAATAATATGAGGAGGAGGAGGAAGAGGAAGGGTGAGGAGGGTGGGGAGCGTGCACCGTCCGCGGAGGTGCGGTGCCAACCCGCGCCGAGGCCGGCGGCCGTGGGCGGCCCGGCCGGGCGGCCCGCGCAGGCCCGGGGGGGGGCCGCTCCCGGAGGCTTCTGCTCGACTGATATCGGTCGGTGCTCTTGCGCCAGATACAGTTATACAAATATACATGTATTCGCTGAACGGCTGATCAGGTAGCGTTGTACACCCACAAGTAGCGTTGCACTCGCTCAGAGGATGATGTAATCGCATAGGTAGGATAGCTTAGTCGCAGGCGGCCCAACTAACCTAGCGCGCATCTTGGACGCATTCTGCACTTCGGCTACTTGTAACTTCTGACGCTGCCGAGATTTATCGGACTTACCATCTAACTTATGTACGACTCATCTTACTTCTGGGACTTACTATGTAGCCCCAAAAATGCTCAGCGGGGGTTGCCTCACCCCCATAATCCAATCTCCCGTCGTCGTCGTCGTCGTCGTCCTCGTCGTCGTCCTCGTCGTCGTCGTCGTCGTCGTCGTCGTTTTCGTCGTCGGTTTCGGAGGCGCCGCTTCTGGTCGTCGGCGTCGTCGTCGTCGTCGTCGTCGTCGTCGCTTTGTTTCAGCGGAAGCGCCGCTTCTGGTCGTCGGCGTTCGCTTCAGCGGAAGCGCCGCTGACCTGGTCGTCGTCGTGGCGTTCGTCGTTCGCATCCCCGCTTGACGTTTTCACGGCTCGGGCTGGGGAGGGAGGGAGGAGGAGGTGGAGGAGGGGGGCAAGGAAGGAGGAGGAGGGGGAGGAGGAGGTGGAGGACACGCTCAACGAGGAGGAGGAGGAGGAGGAGGAGGAGGAGGAGGAGGAGGAGGACGAGGAGGTAAATTCTGAGCGTGTAGCTCTGCTTGAGCACCTGCGCTTCGCGCTCGAGGTCTTAGAAGTGGCCCGCGTATTCGTGCGGCCTCACGGCGCAGCGAACGCTGCAGCGATGCGCTCAGCGCAGCGTGTGCAGGGCCCGCCCGCGGCCGTCGCCCCACGGGTTCTCCGCGTCGAGCCAGCCCGCCTGGTCGTCCCACGCGTGAGACTGCACCCACGACTGAGCCTCCCACCTGTATTTCTTCTTCGGCACCATGCGGATCGACCTGCCCTTGTAGTCATGGCCGTGCCACTCCTCGCCGTTCTTGAACAGCACCGTGGTCTTGCGCGGAACGTCCGTGAGCTTGGGGCCGCCGTCCTGGCTCGTGCCGCTGAGACAATTGAACCGCACGGCAATCATGTTGTTCGGCCCGTGGCCCACGTAGCCGTGCCAGTCTGTCAAGCTCGAACGAGACATGTACATGACGTAGTTGTGCTGATCGTCAATGTGCATCAGAGTCTCTCGATGCGGCGACGTGTCTGGCAATGACTCGTAGATGTAGTCGTACACCGTCATGGTGCGCCGCATAAGCTCTGGCAGCGGCGCCGCCATGGCGACAGCTGGAGAGCCCACTGCAGGACAATCCACAAACAGAGAGCGGCGGTCCCGCTGCTTGAGCCCGCGCTTGGCTACGGATGTATCCCTATACATAGGGGCACGCCCACCAACAGCTCAATGGTCAGAGGATGATGGTGGGAGGAAGGAGGAGGGGATAGAGGAGGAGGAAGGAGAGCGTTCGTTTCAGCGGAAGCGCCGCATACCTGGTCGTCGTCGTCGTCGTTTTCGTCGTTCGCATCCCCGTTTGATGTTTTCAAGGCATATATATATATACACATATAAATTGGCAAGGCCGTGCGCTCTTCAAACCAGCGCCACATAGGCGCCCCCATCGCGGTGCCACGCGCGGGCCATCGCGCATGCTAACTGCCATCAACTTCCGCGAAAGCGAAAACCATCTGCTTGAGCGGGTGCGCCTGCCAGTGGGCAGCAATTTCCTGACGACAAAGTACAGCGTCCCACGTTCGCAGACGCAGACCGACACGAGGCCAGCACCACCCCCGACCAAAACCACGTCGTGAACGTGCAACTCGCGACCATCCTCCCAGGCGCCATGACCCAACTCCACATTTGGATAGCCTGGTAATTCCTTTCTAGACCCACGAAGGCCCTCGCGGAGGGATTGCACACCATCGGTCAAATCATTATGGTGCCTCGCCAGCAAGTTCGAGAGGACATCGTGCTCGTGCCGCTCTGTGTTCCTGACGCTGTTCTCTGCGGACTGCTTGACGCGAATATTGAAGCGCTCAACAACGAACATGTCGACTACAAACTTGTGTTTCCAAATTTGAGTTGGAATATGCATCATGGCGTGGTGTTTCGGAAGTAAATGCATCTTGCCGTATGCGGCTGCATGCCTGTCCATGTGTATACGAAGAGCGGGCCTGAGCTCATTGAGAATGGCTGCGAGCCCAGTCTGCGGGGCCCTCTTAGCCTCGAGGGCGAGGTCCAAGACAGCACATGCTGCGCTGAAAGACTCGCTCTCCCTCTCAAGGCCAGGGATGTCGAGCAGTCTGCATTCGACAAAGTGCCGCGTGATAACATACAAGGATATGTAATCACCTGCCTTGTACCGAATCTTCGACTCCTCCTCGGAGGATGCGGAAAATGCGTCGTAGACTTGGCTGATCTTGACGCCCATTGATAAGGGGAATGTCCAATCAGCCTTCACCAACCCACCCCACATCTCGAACATAATTTCCAGCTTGCTCTCGCACGCCCTCACGTAAGCCGTGCGCTCCCAAGAAAATGCGCCATGTTGTAGATAATGGTGCACCCAGTCTGTGCGGATGATGTCAGATATGTCGAGGATGCCACACAAAGCCTCATCTGCTAGAAGGCCCAGTGGGTTTGGGTTGAAGCCGGCGCCCTGAATGAGCTCCTTGAAATCCCCAGCGCCCATGGCCCCAGCGTCACGTCTCGCTTTCGCCGCCAAAACGACAGCCATATTTGCAACCATGTCCTCGTGATCATGCAACCGAAATTTCGAGAAATCTGAGCAATATATATATCGTAGCACCCTGGAATGAGATGTGAATCCTTCTTCCAACAATTGCCGCAGAGATGCATGGCTTGTGGGAGCTTGCGCCCGTCCAGTCGAACGTCATCCTGTGGCCGTCGGGGTCGGTTAAAACACCTTTCACCGTTGCGAACAGCAGGCCCGTTTGGCCGAGCACATCCAACGCCGCGCCCGCGTCTCTGAAGGACAGGGGGCCAAGCATGATCCCACGCAGAAGTATTGCGAACAATCTGGACCACATGCCCTCGACCTTGCCTATGGTGTGATCCCGAATCGCAGCGAAGGTCATCCAGGTTGCCTCGTGGCTCAAAACTGATCCCCCGAGCTCTAAACATTGAAAGAATCAACAATGGTTTTTCGTTTGTTTTTCGGCTTTTTTTTTTGTCGCCAACCGTGTACTTGTCTAAGCCGATGACCATGCTCCAAGGTCTGTCAGTCGAGCACGGGCGCTTCGAGAAAGCATTCGAGAAACACGTCTGCAACTCGCCCGAAGCAGCCGCCATCTCCTGGAGAACGAGCGCGGGCTGGCAGACCTCCCATCGCCATGGTTCGCCAGTTAACAAACGCAGATCGACGTCGAACCTCGCCCTCTCGAACAACTCGTGGTTTTTAGCGCGAAGCTTCTTATCGCCGACAGGCTCGCAACCGAGTTTCGCGGCAATCCGCGATATCCCGCCCGTGTGCAGCGCGGACTGCAGTCTCAAACGCTTCTGCGCTGCGTCGTGGGCCATGGAGCGGAAAATGCCGCTGCTACGGATGGGGGAGAGAGGGGGGGGGGGGGGGCATGCCAATTTGGGGGCGGGGGGGGGGGGGGGGGGAGGGGGGGCGGGCGGAGGATATGCCATAGGAGAGGGGGGGGACATGCCAATTTGGGGGGGAGGACAGAGGATATGCGCACCCATGTGATTCAGTCAACCCCACCAGCCCTGGGCGTAGGCGGCCTAGATCGCTTCCTCTCCCGACCCCCGTTCCTGGGGCGGGCGGGCGGGCGGTGTGTGTGTGTGTGTGTGTGTGTGTGTGTGTGTGTGTGTGTGTGTGTGTGTGTCGCTCAAGGTGGCTTCCAAATGGTCCAAGAGGGGGGGAGGCTAGCCCAAGGACGGCTCCAAGTGGCCAAAGGGCTCTCCATGGCCCCCCCCCCCACTATATATATATATATATATAAAAACTTGCTCCTCCTCTCATCCCTCTTTCTCCTCGTCCCCCCTCCCCTCGTCCCCCTTCCTCTCGCCCCTCTGACCATTGAGCTGTTGGTGGACGTGCCCCTATGTATAGGGATACATCCATAGCCAAGTTTGGGCTCGAGCAGCGGGGCCGCCGCTCTCTGTTTGCGAATTGTCCTGGGCACTCCAACTGTTGCCATGGCGGCGCCAGCATTTATGCAGCGCGCCCTGACTGCGTACGACTACATCAACGAGTCGACGCCTGAAACGTCGCCGTATTTCGAGACCTTGATGCACATCGAGGAGCAGCACAACTACGTCATGTACATGTCTCGTTCGAATTCGAACGAGTGGCACGTGGCCGACTGGCGCGGCAACGTGAGCTACTGGCCGAACACCATGATGATCGTGCAGTTCAATTGCTTCGGCGGCACCAGCAAGGACGTCGGCGGCCCCAAGCTGACGGACGCGGTGCTCAAGACCACGGTGCTGTTCAAAACGAACGGCGGCGAGTGGCGCGGCCACGACTAAAAGGGCAGGCCGATCCGCATGGTGCCGAAGGGGAAGTACAGGTGGGAGGCGCAGTCGTGGGTGCAGTCTCACGCGTGGGACGATCAGGCGGGCTGGCGCGACGTGGAGAACCCGTGGGGCGACGGGCGCGGGCGGGCCCTGCAGATGCGCTGAGCATCGCTGCAGCGTTGCTCGCTGCGCCGTGAGGCCGCGCGACCACGCTGGCCATTTCTAGGACCTCGAGCGCGAAGCGCAGGTGCTCGAGCAGAGCGACACATCCTCCACCTCCTCCTCCTCCTCCTTTTTGAGCATGTCCTCCACCTCCTCCCCCCCCTCCTCCTCCTTCCTTGCCCTCCTCCTCCACCTCCTCCTCCCTCCTACATATGTATATGTATGTATGTATGTATATATATATATACCCTGGCGAAGAACCCAACCGTATGCAGTTGAG